ACACCTCCATCCTTAGGCTCCAACTGGTCATGAGGAACAACTTCAGCATAGCCTTTGTCAATCCAGTCAGTGACAAATGCTGTATATTCCTCCTTATAGGCCTTATTCTTCTCAAACTTCCTTTTGAGATTTTGAATGCGCTGCTCCACAATACACCGGTTATTGGGCATGATTATGTCATCCTTATTAAAGGGCAGGTCCAAACAATAATGTCCATTTTGCTTGCAAGTTGATTGCTCCATTATTTCCATGAACCTTTTGTCCTCCATTGACATTTCCTGCTCCTCTTCCAGTGCTTTCTCACTGAAATCCATGTTATATTGAGACATCAACAGATCCTCTAGTTTAATGATGGAGATCTGATTAATGTAAACAGTTGGACAGCTTCTCTGACCACCATTTGCACTTCTTAAAGGTCCATTTATGACCCAACCTAATAGGGTCTTCACGGCATATACGGTCCATCTCCTTTGCTGTTAATGATCTCCCATGGTTCCATGAGTTTTGGTGCATTCATACCAATCAAAAGCCCAACATCAGCATCCAATTCTGGGATCTTAATAGATTTGAGATATTCCAAATTCTCAATATCTTGCTGATGTGGAATATTGGTTTTTGAGACAGGAATATTTTCTTGCGTGTAAACCTCTGGGAGGTCCATAAAGTTGTTTTCTCCCAGCTCAGAAATCTCCAGCCCAGTAACACAGTGACTAGGCACCAGCTTCTCCTGACCCATGGTGCGCAGGAGAATGTTGGTCTTTGTGCCTTGTAGATTCGGTTGAGTCATGAGTGTGCTGGTAATGAAAGTGGCTGTACTCCCAGGATCTAAGAAGGCATAGGTCTGCAGCACCTTATTTCCTTTCTTAGACTTAATTTTGACTGGAACAATGGAGAGAGTACAGTCATGGTCTCCGGCCCCAGTACAAACACTGGCTTGGTGAGTCACAAATGCACTGCTTATTGATGGTTCTTTGTTATTTATATGCAAAAGGGTGGGATGCTTTAGATGGCATTTGTCACAGGTAAGACGATTCCTACACCTACACTCCTTACTCATGTGGCCTACTTTCAGGCATCCAAAACATGCTCCTTTTCCTTTCAGGAATTCCATTTTCTC